CTCTTAATCTATTTAGATCATGCTTAACAAATAGAAAAGAGGCAGTTTTTCTTAATAATAGTTATTTTGAGTTTAACACTGTTGAATATGGTGTTCCTCAAGGTTCGATATTAGGATCAGCTTTGTTTCTTATGTATCTAAACGATTTATTTGACTATACCTTTCGTATAAAATGTATTTGCTTCGCAGATAATACAACTCTCATTATAATTAATATTAATATTAATCAGCACAATTTAAAAATTAAAACAGATAGTGATACTCTACAAATGGTAAAATATGACATTCTAACGTTATTCTAACCTTATTGAAAACCTAACAATTAATCAACAATACTGTTTTAGATTTATGTATCTATGTAATAAACTACATATCGTTGCCGTTAATGCATAATGTCATATGTCAAAAAATGCACTTTTCAGGAGACAAAAAAACTGAATAATATTTACTGTGTGAGTAGTGTTTTTCTCCAAATTAGAAGATATACATATGTATACATATGTCCTTTTTTTAAGTATATCTTCCAATTTGGAGAAAACACTACTCATACAGTAAATATTGTTCAGTTTTTTTGTCTCCTGAAAAGTGCATTTTTTGACATATGACACTTTGCATTAAAGGCAATGATATGTTATGTATATAACTATATTACAGCTAATAACCCGAAGTCGTTGATGCTGTTATCAGTAGTAATATCCCTAGGACATTGATAACAGACGAGATAATTTCATGACAATCGAAAGCTCGTTCCTTGGTAACAGCACGAAGCCGAAGGCTGAGTGCTGTTACCAAGCAACGAGCTTGAGAAATTTGTCATTAAATTATGAGGCATTCATCAATGTCCGAGGGATATTCGGCGGATAATTTTTCGAAAAAAATATCATAACGAAACATTTATTTATTAACAGTACAGTTAGTGAAAGTACAATTATTAAAATTTAAGTTAACATTCTCATTGCCGAAACGTGACATTTTGAAATTTATTTGGATGAAGTTGTCAAACTCGATCGTGTTGTCATAGGGATTGAAAATTGCACTGAATACAATTATCAGTCTAATGTTGACATTATTGGGTGAAATTGTTACACATAACACAAAATGACGAAATTTGAATGGTTGTTAGAACAGTCGAAAAATTATCAATAAAATAAAAAAAGGATGGACAGATGATTTAAAAAAATGTGCGTATCAAAAATATTTGCAAATAAAGGATCGCGGTTAATTAATTATTGCACATTGCGAAGTTATTTTGTTAAATGATACAAAATATACAAATTATACAAGATTAAAGATAATAATTTTTTGAAGAAGTGTATATCAATTGTCGAGTTTATTATATTTTTAAAATATATTATGTTGTCATTTTGCTTTTTATTTCATGAACATCTTCCATTTTCTTATTTAAACGTAGAAATTAGCCCATATATTATTGATATTGATCCACTGAATTACAGGAACAAAGAATACTTCGTATATTTAAAACAATTAAGGAACGTACTTACGCAAGTTGATTTTATCTGTTCTTCTTAATGTTATAAGTGAAAATAACGGGCATTTATAAATTACGCTTGCTAATAATGCCATAACATGCCATTAATAAAAATAAACGTTCTGGAAATTGCAGATGGATATTTTTTTAAACTTTCTACTACTTCCTGTATATACATAATACTGAATGTATAAGGTAGTTCAACTAAAATAAAATTTTGTAACTAGAGATACAATTGGTTTTATTTTTGAAAAATATGATATAAGTAATTCGCAATTAGTTTCCCAAATTATTTTACAGTTTCCCAATACCCAATGGTTATCTATTTTGTAATTAAAAAACGGAGTTTCGAACTTTTGTTAACTTTTTGCAAAAAGTTATAAAAACAATAATTTTGTATAAGTTAAAGCACATATCGGTCTCGAACATAACGAGTATGTGGATATGCTGGCAAAAAATGGATTGACCAATAAACTACCTGTAAGTTTTTGTGATGCAGTAGCTTATATTAGAATAAAATATCTCAATATTTGGAACGAATGTTCCAATGAACGAATGAACAACATACTCATACCAACCCTTCTAGATACTGCAGTATACAAAATCAAATACCGAATAAAACGTGGTTTCAGCCATCTAATTATTCAAGAAAATATATCACAACAGTAACACGTCTCAGATTTGGCCACGCCTGTTATCCCACACATCTAAATAAAATTCATGTCTCGAAAATGATCTTTGTCAAAATTGTGGCAAAAAAGGGATTTAGATCATATTTATTTCTAATGCCAAAAATATAAGGATGAAACAGATCAATTTATTCAACAATTACATGATCTAAATGTACAGGCTCCATTTAATATCCTTAGTCTCTTAACTAGTGGAAATGAAACAATTTATAATGCATTAGTAAAATTTCTGTCAAGTACCAAAATTGTCTTGTAGTGTCAACATTCAAAAAAATATATGCAAAATTGTGGTAAGCAACTTGGAGAGTCCATAGCAAAGCAGATGTCGGATTGAGTAGATAGCTGCTCAAAATTTTGCTGTGGAACTCTGACAACCTCATCATCTTGTTTGTATGTAGATATAGATAAAAAGGAGATAATACAAAAAGGTTGGTATTTTTAATTCTCTTATATGTATCATTTTTTGAACACACTGATGATGTTAAAAAGACGTTATATTTAACTTGTATCTTATTTTAATTATAGTTCTTAAAGCATATTATTCAGCTCTTCGTTATTGATATTTTATGGACTTTACGGTCATAAAAGGTTTACGTTTAAGGTAGTAGTCATGTTGTAACTGGCTGATTGACACCTAGTCTATGCCAATAAAAAAAATCTAAACCGTAAAATAGTTTCGAAACACAATTCAGATTTCTGCTTTAATCTGTGCTTTCTAAAAATTGCAAAGCAAAACAGACGTTGATAAAGGTGTTAAAAGAGACGTGGGGAATCTAAAATTTGCATTCCACGACACGTCTTTTCAACTAAGCAGAAATCCTTAGCGAATTGGTTTCTAGTACTCGTACAGAGTAGATCCGAATAAAGTGAAAAGACAGCTAATATTTGATTTCACGCAAAAAGCGCCTTTGTATCTGTTGATACGTATTTCGACCTAATAGGTCTCATCAGAACAGTTATTCAAAGGTGTTCTCAACGTGAAAGATCAATATTTTCTGTCTTTTAAGACGCAACACTAAAATGGCTTCAATACGGACGCAATAGCGACATCTGACAATAAAACCGTAAAATAGTTTCGAAACACAATTCAGATTTCTGCTTTAATCTGTGCTTTCTAAAAATTGCAAAGCAAAGCAGACGTTGATAAAGGTGTTAAAAGACGGATATACTCTGTACGAGTACTAGAAACCAATTCGCTAAGGAGTTCTGCTTGGTTGAAAAGACGTGTCGTGGAATGCAAATTTTAGATTCCCCACGTCTCTTTTAACAACTTTATCAACGTCTGCTTTGCTTTACAATTTTTAGAAAGCACAGATTAAAGCAGAAATCTGAATTGTGTTTCAAAACTATTTTACGGTTTTATTGTCAGATGTCGCTATTGCGTCCGTATTGAAGCCATTTTAGTGTTGCTTCTTAAAAGACAGAAAATATTTATCTTTCACGTTGAGAACACCTTTGAATAACTGTTCTGATGAGACCTATTAGGTCGAAATACGTATCAACAGATACAAAGGCGCTTTTTGCGTGAAATCAAATATTTGCTGTCTTTTCACAAAAAAAATCTATTTTGTGTATTGTCTTTTAGAGGAAAAGATACGAAATAGACATAAGTTTTCAGAAAGTAGAGATATTCATAAACTCACTCAAAAATAGAAAGTCGCCAGGACTAGACGGAATAACCTATAAGAAGACGTCTTATGCCTACTGTATAAAAGAAACACACCAATAAATATTATACAAACCATCAAAAACATCTTTCTATCAAAACCATCAAAAACATCATAGCATTTCTTCTTTTGTTGAAATTTGCTCTAGCCTTTTCTATTCTGATTTTGATATCCTGAATGTAATCATTTGTGGAGTTAATCATTGTTCCCATATATGCAAATTTGTGCACTTGTTTTCGTTGGTTCCGTTTATTAGAAGATTCTCGTTATTTCTTTGAGTTTTCGATATTCTCCTAAATTTCGTCTTCTTCACATTCACTGTTAGACCATACTCTTTTCCAAACTTCGCTATTCTGGTCAATAGTCTCTGAAGACCTTCAATATCAGGATCTCTTCGGAGTAGGCATTAAAAAGAATTGGCAACAATACGCATCCTTGTTTCACTCCACGTCTAATTTCAATTTCTTCTGACAACTGTTCGTTAACACGTACTTTTGCTCCCTGTTTATAGCTGAGGTCGTTGTAGTCAATCTTCTTTGATTTCAGGACATTTATTAATTATTTATGTCGTACTTCATCGAATGATTTATTATAGTCAATAAAACATGCGTATACATCTTGATTGACGTGCAGGCCTCTTTGTATCAGTATATTACGTGAAAAAAGAGCTTTACGCGTTCCCAGGCCTTTACGAAAAAAAAATTGTGTATCATTAACACCTATGTCCAGTTTGTGATGTATTCGGTTATGGATGACTTTTAGTAGTGACTTTACACTATACAGGAATAATACCACAAGAGTGGCTGAAATCGGCATTTATAACCATCCCTAAAAAACAAGCAGCAAAAGAGTGCTCTGATCGAATACTGAGTTCATACTTTAAAAGTACTGCTAAAAGTAATACATGAGACAATATACGAAAGGCTAGATAAGGATATCAGCGAGACGCAGTTCGGGTTCCGAAATGGAATGGGTACTAGATAAGGACTATTTGCCATCAACATATTAATTAAGCGATGTCGGGATATTTACATCGATGGGCTTTGTGGAGACATCACGCTAATGGTGCGGTAATCGTTGCACTCTCTTGCGTTTTTATTTTTGGGGAGACAAATAAAAATCGACGTTAACCACTCTTTGGGTAATACGCCTGAACTATAAATTTGGTTCAAGAGTGTGACTAAAACGTATATTATTACTATATAACAATTCTATAAAATAAGTTAATAAAATATATTATCCTTAAGTTTCGTGACAATTTCCAATTTTACAAAACATCAGTTTACTTTTTGCAATATCTGACTATGAAGACTTTCAAATTTCATCATTTTAAGTTTTCCCCTATTGTGTACCATATTACACTACACGATTCATTTATTGGTTATACTAAAATTATGAAATACTTACCTTAAATAGGTATTATTGATCATTTTATTGTGATGAGAATTGGATACGAAAGATGTGGAACTAATTAATTTAATAAACTTTATTATCTTTTGTTTGTTACATGTCTTAATGATTACAAATTTATTTCTTTGCAGTTTTGAAATATACACTCAATGTAAAAAATATAAATATAAATTTTATTTTATAACTGAGCTTGTTAGAAAAAGGTTTCATAAAATTTGGTCAGAAGTTAATTAATTTAGGTGCAGACTTTGGTAAAAATGATGTAAAAAATATATTAGCTTCTAGAAGAACTATACCAGGAGAATAGGACAGAATAAAATGTAAGTTAAAGATAGTGCAAACAAACCTGACCATGGAGCTGCGCGAAGGCGAAGTCAAAATTCACGTAAAGGCAGAAAGGTTATATAGAAAGTGGAATTATACAGTGCATAGTACAATGCGTTTCGTATAAAAGTGGGGACTAAAACAAATTTCGTCTACTGCGCCGTGGTCAAGAGTGCTTGCACTATCTCTAAAATCTTATTTTTCTGATGCAGTTCTCTATGCAGCGTATAGGCGTTCATAGTGGTTGCATTATGCGAAAGGATCTGTCTTCTGTTGTTCTTATTATTGTAATGATATCAGGAATGTCGCACCAGAATGTCTCTAGGAGAGCCCATGAATGTTATGACTTGCCTGACCTGAAAATCGCCCATTTTTATACACGCGTGTGTAACGATTTAAGGGATTTTAAGGTCAATTAATCAATGGAAAGGATTTAGAACTAAGGCACACGATGACAAGGTATTAGCTCTTCATTTGCTTTTCATTTGTAATATGGTCAACCCATTTTTAAGCAACCTTCTAAGAAACTACATTTCGAAAGCTCCAATATGGTTTACTGATCTTACTTCTAAGTCACCAGGTCTCACTAATGTATAGTATTATTGGCCATATGTAGCCTTTCAAGATGCAAATACGGATATCCAAAGAGTTTGGCGCTGACCAGGGTAGTTATTGAATTTGGTAAAAGTATTTCTAGCTATTGCTTCTCGGATTTTCTTCCTCCTAGTCCCACTTACTGTTTAAGGTAGCTCCAAGATATTTAAATGTTTAAACCCAGTCTAAAAATTGGTTGTTTATTTTTCACTGTGTTTACATATGGGTTTGTCTACTGAATATCATTAATTTCGTTTTTATGATGTTAATGTTGAGACCATCCTCCTCTCCCGCTATATTATAATTATTTCACAAATTCTACATCTACATTATCTTTAATAATGATTTTTGACGAATTGAATATACGCTAACAGACAAAAATAGTGGTCACCCTATAAATTTCCCAAAATAAAATTCATTGGAAGTTTTAAACACTGTTTCATATTGTATACTCAACGTCTTTCATTTATAACATAAAAAAGAGCCACTATTGCTTAATTCCTTAGCATAATTTCCATAATTAGAAGGGAAAGGAACAAATTCTAAATAAAAACTTGAGGAATACGTTTATATTCTTCTCGAAGAATGTTTTGAAGTTATGCAAGACTTTGTGGCTGACCAGGTTAACTTATAACCCTATGGTGAAGTTCAGCACAAAGATATTTGATGATATTTAAATCAGGACTGCAAGCTGGCCATTCTAGAGTAGATCCTACTTCCCCTAAGTAATTTGTCATGATTCTTGCAGTATGTGGCCTTATCATGTATGCGGCTGTGTCTTATCATGCTTAAAGACAAAATTGTCCCCAATAAATGGACGAAGTGGAACTACTGCTTCTGCCAAAATATTCTTATATATTCTGCCGTTCATTCAGTTCGACATTCAAACGAGATTCCAGTACAAACCATGACACCACCACCGCCAAACTTTCTTCTCTGGGACATACAAGATTGGGCAAATCTTTCATTTTTCCATCTCCAAACCCTCTCTCGCCTATCGCCAGACTTCAAACAGAATCTCGATTCATCAGTAAAAAGAATTAGGCTAGAATCCTGTATATCCCATGGTTAATGTTGTCGAGCAAAAATTAATCGATGGGTTGTGTCTGGATTGTAATTCGGAAACAATAGCCGGCCTTCTTGCCTTTAGTCTTTTTTCATAGAGGCGTTTTCTAACCGTACTCTCACTTACATTCATATTTCGAACCTCCTGCAGACGGTTTCTTGTAGCAATTGCAGTAGAAAAGCGATTTCTTAAAAGTTCCATCCCAATAAAACGATCATCTCTTTGCGGGTATCATCAATGTTGACGTGAGTATGTACCTGTCTCTATAAAGCAATGGAAAGCTCTGTATACTGTAGTTATCGGAATACCTTAAGTTTCGGATACATAAACTTGATTTCTTCCGTCTTATCTATCTTAATTATCACTTAGTCAAAATCCACGTTTGAAAAGGAAAGTAACTCAGGCTAGGATACTGGGATATCTAGGTTGGTATCCTAGCTTGAAAAACTGGCCTTGTGTAATCTGGGCGTAACACCAATCCGTCAACAAGCAAGCAAGCTTTAGCGACACTAGGTAATTCCCAAATCGACAAGCAGACCAGAGAAAACAAAGCATTGAACTTTTTTTTATTTTATTTCGATCCAATTATTTAAATTCAGCTTGTAAAATTAAATTCGGAAATTTATAATTAATGAATACTATTTTAAAAGAGGTCAACATTAATTGATTCCATAGTATCCGTGTTTTTTGTTTCATTCATACAAATTTACCTTAATTCCGGTGATGAATCCACTAACAAGCGAACGCAATCCAAACATCCTCTAGCCGCTGCATAATGCAGTGCCAGTGTCGTATTGTTGGCCGCGACTTTCTCCAAGGCCGGCATGTCTTCGCGGGATTCCGCTTCCCAAAGAAGCCAGCGTAGAACGTTTAATCTACCGTATCTGTAACACAAGAACGTTGAAATTAAAGAAAGGAGTAGCTACTACAGGTAGGCAACTTATATTACACTGGTGATCATTTCGCCTGAAATATAGACAACATTAAATTCAGAATATCTACAGAGTGACTCTTTAACTCATTCTGTTGATTTAAACTGTTTTAAAAGCCGGTTATGAATAATATGAAGGAACTATAAAAATAATGAAGAATATTTTTAAAAGATATATAAATTTAAACCGCTACTATTTTTGTAAATAAATTATTGAATTTACCAAAAGGAATCATAATACAATGACGTACGTAGAAATAAGTAGGTTGGTACTTATTTAATCACCTAAAAAATTAAACTGTCTTTTCATTCTTAAAAATAATAAAAATCTTTAAACAATACGTTCACTTTTCTTTTGTAAAAAACGACCTACATAATATTTTTTGACTTAAATGTGCAATTTAAAATTTGAGATTAACTTTGAGAATAATATCACCATTTAATGGCTAACTAATTAGCGCAACTTACTGTACAAAAGCAATATTTCCTCTAACAGAAAACTGAAAAAATAGCTAAAGAATGATATGTAAAAAAGTCCTACACTTTATAGTATTTCTATCTTACGTTGACTCTAATCCATGTTGTACAACTAAATTTTTTCTATTAGGACTAAAGAACAGATAGTAGAACTTTTTAATTATCAGAATTAACAGATTCTTTTTAATTATCTGGAGAATAAAGACCACTTGTGATAGAGTGGAAGGAGCTAATACGTCTTTTATCGAAATTCTGGTGTTTAAAAAATCCTAAGAAAATATTGTAGGCCGAAAGTAAGCAAAACGGTTATTACAATCTTCTGCTTGTTAAGATAAAATACTTATAGAGCTTCAGAAGACTGAACTCAAAGTAATTACAGGTGCTCTCTTTAGGCACTGTTCACTCAATGTGCAAAGTGGACTAAGCAACAGGGAGAATTTGCAAAAATGTGATAGAATCGTTAGAATCTGCAACTGTATAACAATTGTTTCGCAATTCCGCACGAATGCCTCTAAAATATCTTTTTAGAACCTGACCAGGTAACAAATATCTCTCCTAAATGGATAATAAGGTTTCTTAGAAGCCTATATTGTTGGACTAGATTAAGATGTAGTAGACAAACGGTCTTTCAGATTTCAGTGTAGAATAGTGAAATATTTTAAAGATGTAATACAGAAGCAAAAAAAGGTAAACTAGAGGTGAAACATCACAAAAATAAAGACTAACGTAAACAGTTAACACCAACCTACAAAGAACTTTTAAAGAAAGCTTGGTTAGCAATAGCAAAGCAAATAAGAACAGATTGAGGAAAGTCAAAAATTAAAATATGATAAGAGATACAAGACAAAAAACGTTAGGAAGCCAACCATGAGATGACATGAAACCTCGTGATCAGTATCGCGATATAGTAAGACAGAACAAAAAGAAATATAAAACTTTAACAGGAAGAAACAGGGAGACATCTTTAATCGCGTTATTAAAAAGTATGTACGCGTTTCATTTCGAATTACCAACCAAAGTTAATGAGTAGTCTTTTTTTAATTGACATACATTAAGGGATTGGGATGGATTAGACAGTAAGCTCATTTAATGAGGCAAAGTAATTAATACATTTAGTGATTTCAAACAACTCTGAAATAAGAAGAAACTTAACAAATAAGAATGTATCATATAATACTATCCGATAAGCTACTAGTAATAAGAGTGGTAATAGATTCTGTATCTCATTAGCAAAGTAAGTAAATTATATATACCCAAAATAACAACTTATATAATCCTAAAAATAAAATATATAAGGTACTACCAAGCACGTAATGTTACCAGATAAACTAGAGAAAGTACATAGCGGTAATGTTGGTTGCATATCTACAGGTAACAGATTTAACTATCATAAGGTATCGGCATCGGTATAAGTGTTGGAGTGACATAAAAAATATATAGTGTGGAACAGCTAAATAAAATAAATTCGATACTTTAATAATATTTTATATTAATAAAATCTTAAACGCATTAATTTTACACTTTAAAATGCACTGCTGTGTTTAAACTAAATCATAAAATTTAATACTCTCTATAATATGTATTTTTGTTTAGTTTAGAATATTTTTCGTGAATGGAGTTTGTTTTCTTAAAGAAAGATATTTTTGAAATAGATATCCCTCTGAATTTTACCGTTAGAATTTTCGAGGATATGCCTTAAACTGCTACTAGAACTTGAGAAAAGGAATGCCAAACGTTTAGAAGTAACATATTTTGACTTAAGTTGATCCACGTAGTACAATCCAGGTGCAGCTTTTATATAAATTGTAAAATGTTACACAAAGCCATATTAATAACGTTAAGAAAGCCATAAAAAGCTTTTTACTTTTCTAAATACTATGTACACTATATTTTACAAAACACTTGCCCTATTTATTGCTAGTAACATTTTTTTTTTAAATTTCTATTTATGATATCTCATCCGTATCGGAACTCGAGCACTACAATAATTATTTAATTATATCGCTAGTAATGGAGATTATAACGCATCGTAGCAATTTGTTCCACTTGCAAAGAAAACCATTCTTTTAACAGAGACAAATTGGCAACAATAGAAGAGTTCGGTTGATAACCCTAAAAAAGCGGGAAAATTATATACAGATCTATTCAGTATGTAATTTTGTCTATTTGATATATTGACAATAATTACAGTCAAAGTATTATTATTTCTTTTGTAATGTATTTCTAGTCATTTTACTGTTTGTTGTACAACTTATTTAAATGTATATTGTTTTGTTTGCCTCATGCGTTTTTACATAGAGCTGTCATACTTGAGATAGGCCATGGAATCAAAAATATATGGCTCGGTAGTAAATTAAGAGCCACTTTTTTTTGAGGCTGTAAAAACTTTTAAAGATGTGTGTTGGATTCAGAGTAAAAGTCGTGCCCTCGGGTGCGTAAGTGATGCCCTGCCTACCAATAAAAACTACCGTCAGCTACACATGCGCGGCTAGTCTTATTTAGACCGTTATAATACGCATGCGCTGCTTCCTTTTTTCTGTTTTCCCCTTTAGCGTTTATGCCTGCTGAGGTTTCCTTTCTAGGAACTCTTTCCTTTTTATTATTCTAATTTTAACCCAACCCCCCCCCCTCGATTTCTTGATATTCATTTTGGTATAGCTCGGCTCTCTCATTCGCGAACCTTTTACAATCGAACACACAGTGTTTCGCAGTGTCGTTAACTCCGGAGTCAACACAGTTGTCGTCTTCTTGCTTCCCCATCCTTACTAGGAGGGCTCTGAAAGAGCCGTGCCCAGTAAGAAACTGTGTGAAGAAGTAGTTAGTCTTTCTATCCTCACTTCTCACGTCTGCGCTCACTAATAAGTGAATTGGGGGAACTCTTGCTATCACTTGTAAGGCAACCGTCGAAGTCGTCTTATATGCCCAGACGACTGTCAGCAGGGACTTCCTCTGAGATTTCTCACGAATTCTTCTGTATTTTTGTTTATGCATTACCTGCTATCATACTGGTGCTTTTAGTATGGTGGAATGGAACACTTCCGTGAGAATTCTTCTTCTAGCTGTTACCAAACCTCCTATGTTTGGCATGATCTTTGTTAGCGCCACTGTATACAGCATTTATTATGTGTTCATACAGCAGATATTTGACTCTCTTGGCAGGTAGGATATTTTCTCTTGTCAGAGTAAAGAAGATATGTTCTCTCGCTCTTGGACCCTTGAAAATTGTGACGTCCGACTCCTGTATGGCTAGTGTTAGTTCTCTCTCCTCTAGCCATATCCTAACTAGTTCAAGGGCTGTGTTTGTACTATCCATAATGGGACCATTCTCAAAGTGCTCCACTAGTATGACCAGGTCGTCTGCGCAAGTAATTGCTTGCATTCCATCTCCTAGGTTTATCTCCAATATGTCAGTATAGAGTACATTCTAGCGCAATCGATCTAGGACCAAGCCCTGTGACACTCCCGCAAATGACTTCATTATGCCATCTTCAGTTATATTATTGCTCTTATCTGTAGAATAATCCCTCACCAAATTTTGCAGGTATGAAGAAATTTTCATTTCTTCTAATAGTCTAATGATTTTCCCCAGGTTGCGTTATTGAGTGTATTCTTGATGTCCAGGAAGAGTGCTACCATCCAGCTACCCCTGCATGCTTCTTTCTCCCTTACTTAATTATGGCATCTATGTAAGATCTGTCTTTTTTGAACACATACTGGCGGTCTGATAGGCCTACCTTTTCTTCTCTTTCTTTTTAGAGCCTTGACTTTATGAGGATTTCGAATAGTTTCTTCTTCTATAAGTACTCTGTTAGATTAATCGGCCGTTGGTGGTCATATTGGCAATTTTAATTTTGTTTAGGGCAACTCGAAATATATTAGTGGATATCTCTTGATACCACTCTCGGAGATTTCGGAGCCAGGATGTTCGTCTTCGGCCTGGGCCTCTTCTTACGGCGATCTTTCCCTAAAGATGAAGTGTAGAAGGTTATACCTCGCTGGATGTCTCATTACATGGCCTAAATATTGACTTTCGAATTTTTATTGTTTTTGTTATGAGTTTGAGTTTCAGATTTATAAACAAAATTGTCTTAGTAAATTATTAAATTTTTTCTCCATATATTATGTCTTATATACTTATGAATTTATATAATACTTATGAATATATATAATTTTTCATAATAAATTCGTTATTATGTCTTATATACTTATGAATTTTGTCTACCCCACATTTCTATAACTGTTATCTTCAGATGTCAACCCTAAAGCTATGTAATCATCTGTGATTAAAAAAGAAATACAGCTTGTCACATCTCGCCGATTCTCTTGCATCGTCTGACGTCCTCCATCAATCGAGAATATTTATGTCTTCATTAAAAATTCCTATCATTTCTAAGCAAAATGTTCAACCGGTTGTCTAGTGTGGTACAACAATAATTGAAATCTCGTTATTGTAAAAACAATATATAAGCATGTGTT